TGAAGTGGAAAATGAACCCATACCACACAAAGCACAGGGCATGCGTGCAGGGCCTCTGTAGCACGAGACACTTCAGAGAACCAGCTAACCTATTAATCACCCAGAAAGGAACAAAATTATACTTGCATCATTTCGGACAGAAAATTAAACATCTGCTGAACATAATCGTCACTGAATGGCTAATTCATGAGACACAGCACTGAGATACGGTGCGGCAGTGCTTCCGGCCCACTGAGGTGTGGAGAGCCGCAACCCTCTGCATCCACGGCTTCAAACGACCAAGGGCTAGGTGGGCACGCCTGGCTACATACTCCATTTGGCCAGTCTGTCTGCGCACTGTGCCATTATAAACGCTACAGGCTAACTGTGCGCCCGTGACAGGGGCTAATTCTGTCACGGCACCTAACGACGCTAACGTACAGTAAGAGGTGGTTTCACAGCGCATCTAGCAATCTCGTGCCCTGGAACGAAGCAGAGGAGTCAATGAATGGTATCCCCATGTCTGTCTGTCCTCTCCCTTGCTGCCTCTTTCTAGCCTGCCACTGCTCCGAGAAGAAATCACGAAACACAGGCGAACACCACGGAAAATGTGTCTGAGCCGGGGCACAGTGGAGCACACCCGCAATCCCGGCACTCGGAAGATGGAGAATCAGAAGTTCAAAGTCACCCTTGGCTACAGATGACTTCAAAGACAGCCTGGGCTACATCAGACCCTGTCTCTAAAATAAATGAAGCCTGTCTGCCCCAGTAATTTGCACAGAACAAGTGCCACTTGACACAGAACAAGTCTGTGTGATGACCTGAGGACGGCTCGGCGCACAGGAGGCGTGATGAACTCGGATGCAGTGTGCTCCCTGCACTTGTTCCCCGGGCCAAGGTCTCCATGGCAGGTAACAGCACCCTCCTCCTACAGAGCAGGGGTCAAGGGAGCCAACAAGTCAAGCAACCGTCAGCGGTGTCGGCGGGTTGCGGATTCAGACAGCCTGACAATAGCACAATCTACTGCCCTGTGCTGCAACAGGAGGACAGTAAATCCCCGGGAGTCGGCAGAACACAGAACCTGTACGTCCTTTTGCAGCAGGCTGGACATGATGATTCGGATATCCTCTCAACGGATGAGGACTGCAACATGGAAACATTACAGCAGCAGGTTGTCTTCGCTGGGGCTGGGCGTCTATTGCTAGGACAAGCGCCATGACCAAAAGCAGCACGGGGGAGAGGGTTTGTTTCAGCTTACAACTCTCGGATCACACTTGACACTAAGGGAGGTCAGGGCACGAACACGAGACGGAGGCTGAAGCAGGGGCCGTGGACCGCTGCTTACCGGCTTGTTCCATATGGCTTGCTCAGCCTGCTTTCTTCTACCATCCTGGTGGCACCACTCACAATGGGCTGGGCCCTCCCCACCAATCAGGAGGCTTTTTCTCACCTGAGGTTCCCTCCTTTCAGGTGACTCTGGCTCGGGACAGTTACAAAACAAAACAAAAAACCTAGCCAGGAAGTGGACCAAAGAGGTGAGCTGTTAGAGGGAGGCAAGCAAAGGACGGGACAGTGACCACTGCACATTAGGGGGGCAGCACGTGCCCCAGAGCAGCCGGCGAGGTCTTCGTGTAGGAGCGCCATCGGGCCACGTGACACTGAGAGCCAGGGAGAAGAGGGCTCTATGAGAGAAGAGGCATGTGAGGAGACAGGGCAGCAGTAACTTCAGAACAGACCCTGGGGCCCGGGGAGATAGCCCAGCTAGGGAAGCGCTTCCCTGGAGGCATGAGGACCCACGTGCGATCCACACCCATATAAAAGCGCCAGGCGTGGTGCAGTCTGCTTGTAAACCCAGGGCTGGGCGGGAAGCAAACAGGAGAAATCCTGAGAGACTGTCTCAATGGCTTCCACATATGTGACATGCACGCGCGCACACACACGCACACAAAGAATAAAACCTCTGTGGAATGAACTGGGGGGGTGGGGGTAATCTATACCCAGCGCAGCTATAAGCTCCTTAAACTTCCCGAGAAAGGTGGGCCACAGTTCACAGGACTAATGAGGCTAGGATCTATCTGCTGAAATGCGGTCAAGATACCAAACCCCGAGCCCATAGACTCCTAGAGAAAGAGGATGAATACGCAAGGCCTCGAGCACCTCCACCATCGCCAAACCTACAGTAGGGACATGCTGACCTAGTGGTTATTTAAATGTGTGACCTCAACCTGTCAGTAGGCTAATTAATGTCATCCCTAATTAATGACACGCCCACTGTAACGAGGGCCTAAAGGTCCTCCCTGCCCTACCAGTCACAGGAGGAGGAGCCTGGGAAGCTCACCGGCACCCGTAGCCTCCCTTAGACACAGGGGCCAACAAGGATTCCAGCAGCTCTGCGGCTCTAGGGAAGGAACACACCACTCGGGCTCTATGGAAGGAACTGGAAACAGCAGCAGGGAACCCTCAGCAAAACCACTGTGCTCAAAAGACCTCACAGTCTCGCTTAGCGACATGTCACCTGCCTCTGAGGGGGCAGCAATGAAGGCATGCAAGAATCTCTGTCGCCCAGCGGAATAGTCGGGGGGGGGGAGTGTTCTGGCAAATCTACAGGTACTACATCATCGGTGCATGAGAGGGACTTCCACACATAAGGAACTTTTCCCCTTACGTCTCAGACACCAAAACTGCAGGATGTTAAAAGAGGGCTAAAAGGTGGGACTTAAAAAAACAGGGCGGGGGTGTGAGGGAAAGGCAGGTCCAGGGATGAACGTCCTTAATCCCAGCACTTAGGCGGCAGAGGCAGGCGGATCTAAAAAGAGGAAAAATGTGTTCAATGTTTACTTGCTGAGGGCCTGTGTGCTGACTGTGAAAGGAGGGAGCCTCAACAGAGAAAATGCCTCCAAAAGAGCTGGCTGTAAGGCATTTTCAGTGACGGAGAGCCCAGCCTATTGTGGGCGATGCCATCCCTGTTTTCTATAAGCAAACCCAGGGAGCAGGCCAGTAAGCAGCTCCCTCCACAGCCTCTGCGTCAGCTCCTACCTCCAGGTTCCTGCCAGCTCGAGTTCCTGCCCTGACTTCCTTCAGTGATGGACTAGGATGTGAAACTACAAGCCGAATAAACCCTTTCCTCCCCAAACAGCTTTTGGTGTTTCACCACAGCAATGGTAACCCTAACTAGGAGAAGCTGGGACGCTGTCACCTGGCACTAACATAGAAAATGAGACTATAAGCGTGAGAAAGACTGCCAATATTAGAGACAGGAGTGTCCAGAGCCATTCTTATTTACCTTTGAGGGGCCCGACTCCCCAGGATCCCAAGCAGGAAGTTCCCAGAGGAGCCCACACACAGCAAAGAAGTCTCCTTTCTCTGCCTTGATCAGGGTGTGCTTCCCTGGAACACTCCCCACGCTGCTACATGATCTACCCAAACCTTCCCAGCTTCCAAAGTCAGCCTGAGTGCACCTTCCCCTGGAGGTCCTGACCGCCAAGCCACCCCAAGCGATGCCTGCACTCCCAAGGTCTGGCCACCACCAGTGAGGAACACCAATGTATTCTGAGATCAACCCCCGCCCCACCCCCAGAAGGTGGCTCTGTCCTTAAAGTGCTTGTTCAGCAAACAGGGACCCCTGAATTTAATCTAGCACATATGTTTAAAGAAGGGGGGAGAAAACCAGCGTGGCTGTGTGTGACTGTAACCCTGAGTCCTGGGAAGGCAGAGGAAGGGGGAATCCCGGGGACTGCTGGCCAACCAGTCTAGCTCAGTCAGCAAACTCCAGGTTTGCTGAAAGACAGTCTCAGAGAATATGAAAAGCAACTGAAGAAGACAACGGATGTCCGGATGTCCACTTTCACGAGTGTGTGCGCAGGGGCGCGCCACACACACACACACACACACACACACACACACACACACACACACTCTCTCTCTCTCTCTCTCTCTCTCTCTCCTCTCTCTCTCTCCAAAAAGCACTTCTAATCTAGTCAACAAATCTTGAGTACCTACTAGAAGCCAGTATTGTTCAAGGGACTGGTGAAATTGCAGCCAACAGAATTGGGTCTTTTTTCCCCCCCAAAGGAAGGGGAGAGCTCCTCTGTAGTGCTTTTCAAAATCTTCTTGAAAAGATCTGGCCTGAGCCTCAGACCGGAAGACCTGTTTAGTGGAACCTTGGGCTTCTCGGGTGCAAGCTCTCCACGCTCCCTCAAACTGAAGGTACATAAACCAATGGGGAACAGAAGCGCCCACAGCCACTTCTAGCTGAACTTCCACTTCTTAAAAACCTCAAAAGAACAAGGAAGGAAAAGAAAACAGCTACGAAAGCGCTGCTGAACCAACACATTTCAGGCACTGGGACAGAGTATTCCAATCCCCCTTGTAAAATAAAGAGTGACTCCCACCCCACCGAAGCCTTGCAGCCCCGGATTCAAGCGTCTAACAGATCTTAGAAAGCTGAACGCACCTCAGCCTCCCTAAGCAAATCTTTCCAACCCTTGGTTTCTTACCGATTAAGTCCCCAGGGGAAACGAGCATATGCCACTTGGACGAACCCAGCGAGAATGACCACAAGAAAACGACAAACTGAGCTTCAGGCACAAGAGGGGCCCGAAGACCCAGCCCCTGGTGCGCGATGAACGCAGAAACAATTTTAAAAACAAACAAAAGCCGGGTCCCGCTCAGCCCGGCGGACCGTTCCAAGTTCCTCGGAGAAGGAAACGCGAACGGGCTCCAGGGGAGCCGCGAGGACCCGCACGGCGTGGGAGTCCCCGCAGGATGTGAGAGGGGCTCGGCGAACTCGGTCCGCTCCGCCGCGGCTTTTGTGAGCCGCGACAGCGGGCACCCCGGGGCGGGCGAGGGTGAGCGCCGAGCGGTGCCATGCGGCGCGGGCTGCCACCTGGGCACTCCCCCATCCTCCGCAGCGCCGACGCCAGGCGCCGGGAGCCCGGCCTGCGCCGCGCGCGCCTCGGGAGCCGCGACCTCTCCAGGGACCCCGCGCCGCCCCGGCCGCGAGCCCCGCCGCGCGCACTCACCTCAGCAGGCTGGAGAGCGGGTGGCTGGAGGACCCCAGGCCGCCGCCCCCGGAGCCGCCGCCGGGGCCGCCGCCGCCGCCGCCGAAGCCGGAGGAGAGCCGCTTCCCGGACAGCAGCTTCTCCACGGCCGGGAGGTGCCCGGTGCGGGCCGCCTCCAGCAGCTCCTGCTCCTTCCCCATCCCCGGGACCGCCACCCCTCGGACCCCCCACCCGGGGCCGCGCGCAGCCCGCTCCGGCTCCCAAACTTTCCGTCTCCGGGCAACGCACCCCTCAAACCGGCCGGGGACGCCACCCCCTCTCCCCCCGCCTCCCTGGCCTCCCACCACCCCCCCCGCGGCGCGTCACTTCCGGGATCCGGCGTCACGCGTCACCGCGCCCCCGCGCCCCGCCTCCCTGCCCACCTAGTGGGCGGGGCCGCCCCGCAGGTGACCGAGCGCGGCCCAGCCCGGGCCCGGCGAGCGGAGCGCGGCTTCGCGGCGGCGGGGTTCGCGCCCAGAGCGCCCGCCCGTCCGCGGGTGGCCGAGCGCACGCGCGGCAGACCTGTCGGAACCTCCCGGAGCGCTCGCCTTCCCCAAGGTCTGCGACCTCGTGGGGCTGGAGACACGGTAATTTGTCCGGGCACTGTAGCAACAAAGGAGATTTGGTTACGCGCGGTTCCATTCAAGACGCAAAGATTAAACTCGGAATCGGCGCGGAGACCTAGAGGCAGACTTGAGAAATCCCGCCCCCTGGTGCCTCCCGGAGGCGAGACCGGAGAGTTAACCCAGCGGTTCGCCAGGTTGCAGCGCACGTCGCTCATCCCAACACGTGGAAGCAGAAGCAGGTGTGTCTCTGAATTTGAGGCCGGCCTGCTCTACAAAGCAAGTGCAGGCTAGCCAAGGCTACACAGTGAGGCCCTGTCTCAAAAGAAGGGGACGAGAGCGGCCGGAGAGACGGCGTAGGGTGAAGAGCACTGGCTGCCTTGTCAGAGGGCCTGGGTTTGATTCCCGGTACCCGCTTGGCGCCTTACAACAGGCTGAGTCCAGTTCCAGCGGAACCAGCACCCTCTTCTGGCTTCCCAAGGTCCCGTGAACGCATGCACAGACACAAGTGTAGCCAAAACACCATACACATGGTTTTTTTTTTTTTTTTTTTTTTAAAGAAATCATTTTTTAAAAAAGCAATATCCTCAGCAGAGCGTGGTGGCCCACGCCTGTGATCCCAGCACTCAGGGAGGCAGAGGCAGGCGGATCACTGTGAGTTCGAGGCCAGCCTGGTCTACAGAGTGAATCCAGGAAAGCCAAGGCTCCACAGAGAAGCCCTGTCTCAAACAAACAAACAAGGGCAATATCCTCGCGCTCCACCCTACGAACCCTTCAGTGAAACGGTCAGAAGAGACCTCCTTCCTTAGTTGTCGTGAGACTGAACAAACATTTCAAAAGTCAGATTTGGGGGGCCAGCCCCAGTTTTGAGTATTGGTTGACTGCGGGGAAAATGTAATTGGGAAGGGGCGACTGTCTTTTCTGGTCTTTCTCCGGACGCTAGCCCTAGTCGGACTCGAGGCAGGCGGCCAACGCTTGAGGCGCTGAGTGAAAGCGTTGGATAACATCCTGCAGGAGCTAGGGATGCCCGCGAAGCGGAAAGGAAGCCGTGGCAACTCCCCGCTGAGCACGAGCCTTAGTTCTTTGGGAAGTACGAGGCTGGCCCCGGCCGAAGGTTGGTCAGTCGGCAGCAAACCGCCGGTCCCCGACTTCGCGCTGGAAGAGTCAAGTTAAAGAAGGGATCGTTGCCATCGCCTGCCTAGAAAGGAGGAGTCTCCTAGCAAACGACTCTACGCTCTTTTCAAAGCCCTTTTTTCCTAAGACGGAAGATCCACACCTCCAAACGTCTCTCTCGTTAAAACAAATTCCGTCCGAATGAATCCCTTGAGCGATCCTCGCGCCCCTGGGAGTGACCCCTGCGAGGACCGGTGGGCGTGACGTCATCGCGGCGCGACGGGCCGCAGCATCACTCCGGCGCGCCGCCCGGCGCACCGCGCCCTAGCCTGGCGGCGCTGCCGTCGTCCCTGTCCCGCTTCCACCGCCATGGACAACCCTGGGGAGTCGCCTACGGACAAAGGCGGGGAGGCAGAGGAGGCAGAGGCGATGAGGGCCGCCCCTGGGGCCCCGGCGGCCGCCGACGCTGAGGGAATCCCGGAGGAAACGGACGGGGATGGAGACGCGGACCTGAAAGAAGCCGCCGCGGAGGAAAGCGAGGTAGGGAGAAGTTTGTGGTGAGGCTTGAGGATTGCGTTTCTGACTGCTTCCTGCCCTCCAAGGCTGGGAGGACTAGAACTCCTTACGACTCTTTGTCAGTGTGCAGTTTGCGGGGCAGAGGAGGGGCCGGAAGTGTAGTAGGTGCTGCTTCGGCTCCAGGACTGCGTTCAGTCATGCTCTTACCTTCGTGGGACGTTGAACCAGCGTCCTTGATGTAAATTCCAGGGGTTTCGGAGCCTTATCAAAATCCTCGACTGTGTCACCTCAAAAGCTAAGCATTGCTGTCTAGTTAACAACCTCAATGTTGTTTAGGTTCCATTTCCGCAGGTAAAAATCTCGAGTTTAAAGCTGGGAATGACAAGAGAGACTACAGAGTGAACATTGAATAAGGTGGAAATGGGCTCTGTAAACGTGACGGCATGAAAACATTTGAAGCTTTTAGGAAAAAGAAAATGTAACACAACTTTATGGGATTTTGCTTTATTTCTTTATGAGGAGCGTCAACCTAGAGCAGACTGGCCTTGAGCTTGTGATCCTCATGTTACAGATCGTTTTCGGAAGAAAAAAAAACATTAAGCTGAATGTCCCACTCAGGCAGCTGAAGTAGAAGGAATGAATTCCAGAAGTGCCTGGGCTACAAAATGAGACCTGCTTCTACTCCAGCTCCCTCAAAGGAAGGAGGGGAGGAAAAGGAAGATGGGGGGGGGGGGAATTAAGGACAAATAAAATTGAAAATCTGAAGCTCAAAGCTAGAAACATGGATAGATCAGTAGCTGAAAAGAAGTTGAAAGGATTGTCAGGTATATGCCTCCACTTCCCCTCTCCCAATTTCCATAGGAGTTTAAATAGGAATTTCTTTATTCTTCGACACAGGGTTTCTCTGGGTAGCCCTGACTGTCCCAGAACTCCCGCTGTAGACCAGGCTGGCCTCCTCAGAGATCTGCCCGCCTCCCAAGTGCTGGGATTAAAGGCATGTGCCATCACTGCCCAGCATGAATTTCTTTCTAAAGGAACCATTAAATTTCATTAATGAGTTCTGATGTATTAAGATTTCATAGTAAGTTGGTCTAGACAGAGTTTGGATTATACTTGTCATGAATAAAACTGTTAAGTGCTTATGTGAAATGTAAATAATAAACATCTTCAAAGATTTTAGTTTGGGGCAGGTAAAGGTGCTTGCCATGAAAGCCCGGGAACTGGAGTTTGATCCCCAGAACCCACATAAAGGTGGAAGAGAGCCATGTCTACAAAGTTGTCCCATGATCTCCATTTGCAAATCCACACACAATATGTATGAATGTACATAACTTAAAACTTTTAGTTTTTTAAACATATTTTTTATTATATTAATTTTTTGCCTGGGTGTATTTGTTTGCCATGTATGTGCCTGGTCCCTGTGGAAATCAGACCCTCTGAAATGGAGTTACTAATGTCTGTGAACTGCCATGTGGGCATTGGTAATGGAATCTGGACCCTCTGTAAGAACAACCAATACTCTTAACCTGTGAGCCAGCTCTCAGATTTTAGTTTAAACTCAGTATGGTGGTACAAGTCTATAATCCCAGCAAGGAGGCTGAGGCAGAATAAGTCAGAAACTGGAGACCAGGGAGAGATGGGCCACCAGCTTAGGCTACAAAATGAGACCTTGTCGTAAATTACAAGTGAAAAGAAAAATTTCCAAACTGGGCATGGTGGTGCCCTTTCATCCTCACACTGAGGCAGAGGCAGGTAGATCTCTTAGTTCAAGGCCAGCCTGGTCTACATTTCAAGATTGCTAGGGCTACGTAGGGAGACTCTTATGTTTCTAGTCTAGTAATGGGAAAGATCTCATGATCCAGTAGAGAAAGGGCCAGAACAGAGCACTGTTGGGCAGTGCTCCCTAGACACACTCACTGCTGAATGGAGAAAACTGTCCTGACACCTTGGAGTGAGGTTGGAAGGGTGAGCCCACTGGAGAGTGGCTGTTTGGATCCTTGGCGTTTTCCCCTTAGCATATTAAACAGAGCCAGGACCTCTATGTGGTCACGGCTAAACTGGATTATTCATTTTCTTTCCCAGCTGGGCTATAATCCTCCTTCAGGAGACAGATGGCCTCTTATGCTGGCGGTATAAGCAATGCCTAGAACCAGACAGCTGCTGCCTAGGCGGATTTGCTGGACTGGAAAGAGGAGGACATTTGATGACCTTGCCTGAAAAGTATACCAAATATGTAATGAGAGTTTCTGTCCATCTTCCTAGCTCAAGAGTCAGGACGTTTCAGACTTAACAGCCATTGAAAGGGAAGACTCAGCATTACTTACTCCTGCAGCCAAAAAACTGAAACTAGACACCAAGGAAAAGAAGGAGAAGAAGCAGAAAGTGGACGAGGATGAGATTCAGAAGATGCAGTGAGTCACTGACTGTCCTGATTTCAGGGTTCTAACTCAGCTCTGCACGTTCAGTCTTGCTTGCTTGTTTGCTTTTGAGATAGGGTCTCATGAGGTTTAGGTCAGTCTTAAACTGTTGATCCTCCTGCCCCAGCCTCCTTGGTGCTGAGATGACAGGCATGAGCCGGTATACCTAGATATAATTTCAGGCCAGCAAGATGCCAGATAAAGGTGCTTGCCACTAAGCCTAATGACCTGAGTTTGATCCTAGGAAACCACAAGTTCCTAGGAAAGAACAAGTTCCTGGAAATTGTCCTCTTACTACCAGACATAGGCATACTCCTGACATATACAAAATAAGTACATAAATATCAGGGTATTAAATAATTTCTATTTCAAAATGTTTTGTTTTTATATTACATTTGGTCAGTATACATCAAAGTCATTATTCAAAAAAACTTGACTTTATTTTCTGGTTGCAATAATATAGGCTCATTGCAAACAACTCAAAATACAAGAAATAAAAATTTTAAAAAATCCAGCTGCTAGAGCTTATCCCAAGAACGTCTTCTCTGGGTATATTTGTGCAGACAGCATCCTCATAAATACATGTTTCCTGGCTGCACTGCATCTCCCTGTACCTGAACCATACCATCAATCCCTGTAACTATTGTGGTTGGGGGTTTTGAAATTTGTTTCTTTTAACAACATTGCATTACATCTTTGGGCACATCTCTACATCTTTCCATTTCTTTCCAAGATAAACTGATCTTCCGGTTTCTTTGTAATAATGTTTCTTTGGGCTTTTTTCTCCATTTTGCTTGGCCATTGATATTGTTGGGAATTTCCTATTAAGTCTTTGGTACATCTTCTAAAACTGGGTCAGCCGTCTTTTTATTTATTTAAAAGAATTAACTATAATGGGGGATAGAGAGAATGCTCAGAAGTTAAGAGCCATCTCTGCTAACAGAGGTCCAGTAAGGTCCCAGCACTCATAAATCAAGCTGCCTACAAATGCCTGTAACTCTAGTTCCAAGGGATCTGGCCCTCCCTCTGGCTTCCATGGGCACCTGCACATACATGTGCACGGACAGACCAACAAGCAAACATACTACCCTTGAAAAGTCTGTTGTTTTTGAGGAATATAGGGCTAGTGATAAGGCCCAGCATGTCTGCCGGCCCGAGTTCAATCCCCAGAACCCACATGATGGAAGGAGAGAACTGACTCCCTCAAGTTGTCTTTCCTCATGAGTGTCCGCACTACACAGACAAACACCACACAGACACAGTAAGTAGACTCAAGAATGTTAAAGTCTTAGGGCTGAGGCTAGAGCTCACTTTGTAGATTGCTTGTGTGTGATTGATCCAGCAGAGTAAAACCAGATGTTCTAACACACCTGTAGTCCCACTCTCTGGGAGGTGGAGCCAGGAGGATCAGAAGTTCAAGTTTCTCCTGAGGCTAGCCTGAGGTATTGTGTCTCACAAGCTTTCTAATGACTGTACATATTTTTAATATTTCTGTCTAAACTTGTTAACACTGAAGAACCCTGATGTGCGCATAAATTCTGTTACGTGTTGAACGTTGGTGTGACATGCAGTCAGCAGACTATTTTCTCCTCATACTCCTGAGAAGGCATGCAGCACCACATCCAGCTGCTTGTTGTTAATGAAAGGAAATTGTGTTTTGTTCTCCTCTTTCCAAAGTTCCTTAGGACTGGAAATGTTCTGTTGACATTCCTCAAGCCTAAAGCCGTTGACTCCCTGAAACACATTTTTGTCTGAGGCTTGCTTTTATTGACTTATGCCCTTAGTATTCTCATTAACCAACTAATTACTGAATCTTTGTCTAGAATCCTGGTCTCTTCTTTTTCTGAGGAGCAGCTGAACCGCTATGAAATGTATCGCCGGTCAGCTTTCCCTAAAGCAGCCATTAAAAGGGTAAGGATGGACTGTGTGTGCTCGTTGTCCCCATTGTGCGGGGAGGGAGCTAGGCTCCACAGCTGTGCCGTCAGCATTCTCAAGTGAGATGGCTAGGAGGGAGAGACAATCGCCTCCAGCTTTGTATGCCAAGGAGAGCAAGTCGTAACACACACTAACCCTTGAGGGTTTTAGAGTGTTTTCAATTGGTGTGTCTGTGAGCATATGACACACGTGTGGCATGTACATGTGAGGGTGCCCAGGAAAGCCAGAAGAGGCTTCCGCTCCCCTCAACTGCCGGGGGGGGGGGTTAGAGGGGGTTGTCAGTGCTGGGAACTGAATGCTGGTCCCCAAAGAGCAGCAAGCGCTCCTAACCACTGAGCTGTCTCTCCAGCCACAGTCATTTTAGCCTGTTCTAGCACTCGGCCTTCAGTGTGGCCCTCACTCAGTGTCGCTGCCTTCCAAAGCCAGTTGTTGACTGTGTTAACGCAGTTCTTCTCCTTTCTCCCCAGTTAATCCAGTCCATCACCGGCACCTCTGTGTCTCAGAATGTTGTCATTGCCATGTCTGGTATTTCTAAAGTTTTTGTTGGGGAGGTGGTAGAAGAAGGTGAGTGGCCTTGCTTATTGCTGTCACGGAGATCTTATTTTCAAGAATCTCTATCCCAAGGCATTTAAGGATCTGGGGATTTCCAACTGCACTAGAAGCTGATCCTATAGGAAGCCTTGTCTTGAGAGCATGGCTATTCTTGTAATTTTTATTACTGGGTGGATGAGGCTGGGGGGATGGGTATGAGACCAACCACTTAGGAAATCCCTTTCCTTAGCCCAGGGTGACAAAAACAGTTCTGTATATTTCCTCAGCAGACCCTCTGCCTTTCAGTGTGAGAAGAAAAGCAATGCCCCATGAGAGTCTTCCCTCTGGTCTCCAAACTCAGAGATCCTCCTGAGTGTTGGGATTAAAGGTGTGCACCACTGCGCCCAGCTTATATCGTTCTCTTAAGGGGAAACATCTTCATTTATTTCTCTGACAAATTTCACAAAAGCCAGAATTAAAACTCAAGGGTTGTGGTTAGCAAATCTTATGGTATTGTCTCTTCTCCCCACACCAGCCCTGGACGTGTGTGAGAAGTGGGGAGAGATCCCACCCCTGCAGCCCAAGCACATGAGGGAAGCTGTTCGGAGGCTCAAGTCCAAGGGGCAAATCCCCAGCTCAAAGCACAAGAAAATAACCTTCTTCTAGCTCTGACTGAGAATGTCCCGGACTCTCAGTTGTTGGCGCTCCAAGGACTCACGGTGCTGATTTTAATGTGTCTGTCACACCTGCAAGGTGGCTCAGTGTGGCTCAGACTTGCCTTCACTCAATCGTGGACTGTCTTCTGGCATTTTGAAGAATTTCACTCTTTCTTGGCTAGTTTGAAGATACAAGGCCTTTAGTATCTCCAGGAGAGGGAAGTGCTTTCAGAGAGAGTAAGAACAATGGCGGCGTCACGCTGAAGTCTGACTGACTTGTGACCATCTGCTGTGAAGATAGTCACAGCAGTGAAATACGTTGGGTGTTGTACAACAGGCTTTCCAACTTGTGTAGAAAAGTTTATTCATCATTCTTCCAGTGTCTAAATAAAACTAGTCTTGTTTTTTTTTTGTTGTTGTTGTTGGTTTGTTTTTTCCAAGACAGAGTTTTTCTGTATAACCCAGGCTGTCCTGGAATTCACTTTGTAGACGAAGCTGGCCTCTGAGGTCTGCCTGCCTGTCTCCTGAGTGCTGAGATTAAAGGCGTACGCCACCACCGCCGCCCAGCATGTTAGGGTCTCACTAGTTCTGGCTGTCCTGGAACTTACTGTGTAGACCAGGCTGGCCTCCAACTCACAGAGCATCACTATGCCTGGCACTAATCTTGGCTTTCTCATGGAAGAAAAAAAAAGTTTTTGAGACAGTCTTAGACCAGGCTGGCCCTTAGCTCAGAGTACTGGGGGGGGGGGGGGGGAGGACCACACCTGGCCCTTTTTTCCTGAAAATAAGTAAACTTTTCCCATATCCACAAGAACCTTAAATTTGGACCTGGAGAGAAGGCTCAACAGTTAAGAGCACAGGATCCACGTTCAGTTCTCGGCACCCACATCAGCCACTCACAACGTCCTGCACTGCAGCTCTAGAAGATGCCTCTTCTGACCTACACAGGCAAAGACTCACATGACATATGTCAACACACACAAAAAAATAAAAAACCAAAAAGGTATGTATGTGTGTAGCCAAGGAGACAACCTGAACTTGTGATCTTCCTGCCTTTACCTCCCCAGTACTAGGATTATGGGTGTGCCGCTGTACCGGGCTGGTTCATGCAGTGCTGGGGATGGATTGGGGCAAGTGTGATAACTGAGGCATATCCCCAGCATCAAGCATTGTTTCCAGCCCAAGTAAACCCCACATCTGGCTAGACTTGTGAATTTGAGGTCAACTGGGTACATAGCAAAAAAGAACCACGTACAGGCTTACCTACTTCAACTCCTATAAACAGATACACAGGGACCAACACCGTTCAATAATGTTTAATTTGCTTTTCAGGTGGTTCACAGAACCAGTACACTCAGGGTTTGACTAGATATTGTAACTTAAATTTTCCCAATACTGACCAGGATTCCAGTTCATTGTACACATTCTCACTGCGTTTCTCGGAGAATGGGGTGATTTTGACAGTGATTAGCAGTGGTAAGGCTGCCTGACAGAGTTGGCAATCCACTGGCCTGCTTCCTGTGCACTGCTGAGCATCACAGGAAGAAGGCTGGGAACTGTTCTCTGCTGAAGCTTTCCTGAGCAAGGCTCTTGTTTTTAGCACCCTGAGTTAGGGAAACAGCTCAGACACACGGAACTGGACGGCTGTGACTTTTGGTAGCTCGTGTTAAAGCTCACTGGCTTTGCCAAGGCAGAAGACACTTCAGCAGGGCATTCCACAAAGAACGTCGTAAGACTCAAGCAAATTTTGATCAAAACCTAGTAAACTGACAAAAACAATTTTTTCCTCGCTAATAGGAAATTCTCAACACAGGAGCTATACTTATTTTGATATAGGATACAAGATGAGGCAGGGACATAACAGCAGACAGGAAGCTCAAATCCCAAGTCTGGCCACTTAGCAAGGCCTCACTGTAAAAAGTTAGCTACAGCGTATTTCCCTGTGCCATGGGGACAAAATGCCTCCACTAACAGCCACTCTCACACCCACCCTGGAAAAACAGAATGCCCTGGTAGATGTGGTGGTCCTGAGCAATGCCCTAGTTACCTAGGATTATGCATTGCCTCTGCGTCTCCAGGAGTGACTAAGCCACAGCTGTCAGTCTTCACCAGATGTTATTCTGCTGGCTTGGGGTAATAAACAGTTTCCAGTTTTGTGGCCTGGCATCACTGATGTCAGAAATTTAGGCTTGAAGATCAAAGAAAGGGGTCTGAAATAGAAAATTTCCACCCAGAACTCACACAATCTTTGCATGCTCAATCTCTCGATCCGCTAAGGAGAAACTAACATGAAGTAACAGCAGACATTTGAATTACAGGGTCTGTGAGATGTGGTGCCAACCCTTTCTGTGTCACAGGTACATTCTCTCAGAGCACAGAATTGTAAAGATTGTCCCATGGCACAATAAGGTCAGAGGAAGTAAAACAGTTTAAACAGCTCTTGGAGGCAAGAGCACCCACGCTGGCTTTCCATCAGACTCAGTTAATCCTCCAGAAAACTGAAAGCGAGTTGGAGACTGACAGCCATCTCTGCAGTTAGGGCTCACTCTAGTCTACACACACCAGCGCAAATGCATGTAAACAGGAACTGGACAATCACAGAGGAAGCATGCTATAGTAAGTGCTTCACAGCAGAGAGGGCCAGGGGCAGCGCCTGAGGCCTCTGAGGGGCAGTGTTGTGCTCCCTCCACAAGTCTCTTGAGGTATTATTTCATGTTGCAACTTCACAGCAAAACTCCGAAAGTGCTGCCCTGCTCTTCATTCTGTTTTCTCTTAGCCTAACCCTGAAGATTCTCACAGCCAGTTTCATTATGGCAAAGTCTCCTATTCATCCCCAATGAGTAGGGGAACGGAATTACAAAATATGTCATTACCAAAGTCCCATGGAATAATCATCTCACCGTATTTCCTGAGGGGTGACTTCAAGACACAAAAGGCCAAAGCCACCACAACATAAAAGAAGCCAAAATGGAGACAGCTCCATTTGCACATGGACAAGAATCCCAGACAACCTCAGCTCAGAAACCTGACATTCTGGCCAGTAAGGCATTAACCTTGACACAAAATGTTTATACTGCAAGTTTAACAGAAAAGCACACCAAGAATTTTTTAGGCATCTTTCCATGAGGCAAGGGGGACGGGGCAGGCAGGGCACGGGTACCAAAGGGATGTGGTGAGCAAAAGGGATGTGATTTTAAACCAACTCAAGTGATCCTGAAGCTGAATAATTCTATTTTCTAGTTACTGGCTCTCCCTTCTCCAAGATTCGCTAGAAATATAGGTGTCACTTCTCCAACAAGCTCAAGTTTCTGACTTTGCTCAAAGTGCTTCCTTTTTCCCTGAGGCAGTGACGGAGCTGCGCCACTCCTGACTGAGTGTGTAGTCAGCTGCTCCCCTCAGCTGTCCTCACTGCAGAACAGTCATTTTCAATGCACACCTTGATCACTCTCCCGAGTCCCTGAACCCTCGTTGCCGTTGCCTTCTCCATCTCCTAGGTAAATAAAGACAACAGAAGTGCCCAGTGGCTGTGTGAAGTCAATCCCCTGGTCCTGCTATTGCCCAAAGTGACGTCCTAATGATGCTGAGAGCACCGTCAGGCTTTAGGCCACAGCACTCCACTTCCTCCTCCCTCTCTGCAAGGCTCGTCGTTCTTTCCTGAGTATGTTTTAGTATTATTAGTTCAAATGTGCATAATCTTTATTTTTGTCACGGTGTTTGTGATGCTGGGGGTGAGCCCAGCCCCTCCCCATGATGAACCTCACTGTCACGCTGTATAGTCACAGCCCTGCTCACTGCGGCTTTGTGGCTGTTTCTCTCTTCTGGTCTAGAGGCTGTACCATCTGACCTCATTTCCAGTTGTAGGTCATTTATAAAAATCTGAAATAAGGGAACTTCACCTGTCAACACTGTCTCCAGGAGATGTTATTTTCGTCTGTAACGGATCTCCTCAGTGCAACAAACCACAATCTTACAAGAACTGGTGGTGTCCTGAAATTTGCCTTCGTGAAGAACATGACTGTGTCCTGCAAGTCTGAACAATGCAACCTCATTTCTTTCACAAATGTGTTCCTTTTTTTCTTTTTACCCTCAAAACACATGGCATAGTGCTTTTCCCCTCGCCATGTGCAATCAGTAGCGACACCAGTTCACAATGATGGACCATCTTGCCAAGTCAAGTGAGTTAGGAACACTTCTGGGCAGCACCTGGAGCACACCACGGAGCCAAGTGTGGACAATCGAAGGAAAGGGGAAAGTTTTTTTAGGGCCAGAAGGGAACCTAGATAGACTGAAGGGCTCTGGTCTTGTTTTTACTAAGTTGAAGCACATGATTTTTAAAAAGCCACCGAGGGAGTGCGGCAGCATACTGCGGTGTTTACGACTAAGCTAACCGTAAGACTACTTCATGTAGCAGTTCGCTCCCAAACCACTAAGTGCTGACGTCCGCACAGGCAGAAGTCGCAGTGCCGGGAAAGCAGGTGAGCAGGAACTCCGGAAGAGTAAGGAAGCAGCCTGCCAGGTACAGCCGTGCAAACAGGCCAGACGCTCCACCCTCCGCGCCTGCAGCTGAGCACTGTCTTTCCTGTTGTTCAGGGAAGGGTGATCCGGCCAAGTCACAGTCGCAGCATCACAGCGAAGAACGCGTCAGGAAGTGTGACCCCAGAGTATCAGCCAAGATGCCATGAGCCTAGCTCCCATTCCTACAGACCAGTCCATGTCTCCCTGATCACAGGCCTCCTCTGCCCCAACCCTGAGGCTGGGCTATTTCCTGATCTATGCCAAAACTCAGGCCAAGGACTTTACAGTTGTGCCACAGGAAGCGCTGGGTGGCTGTGTTCTGACTCAGGCAGACACTTGTTCACGCAGGCCATGAAGGAAGCAAACACCACAGCCATGAAATGAAGAGAACTGCTCTACAGTGTTGAGAAGATTTCTCTAGTCTGCAGAAGGCTACAAGGCTACATAATGGCAAGGCATGGTGCAGCCAGGTACAGAGCTATCCCAGTTCCTGGATGCAGCCATGCTCTGCCCTGTCCTCCACCCAGGCTAGCAGCCATCAGGAAGCACACGAGGGAGTGAACTGCGTGCTCCCTGCCCCGCAGGCTCTGTGGCACCTCTGTCCTCGGTGGCGCTATTGCTGGTGATATCTCCTTGGCACAGACAGCTGAGCTGCTGTCAAAGCTCAAAGAGAGGGTTGTATTTCCTAATCTCCTGAAGAAGTTTTTCTTTGTCCTGGTTGGCAATGGCCAGTGCTTGTTTGGTGTCCATAAGCTCTTGCTGTATGGTGGGCAATTCTCTCCCCTGAAGGAGAAATAATTCACCATTAGGGAACAAGCAGTATCTCCTTGCAACAACCACCAATAACGAGGTAGAGAGGAGGACCTCAACAGAAGCAAAGTGGGGCAGTGATTAAGAACTCAAGCAGCGGTCTCTCTCTCTCACTCCTCTTACTCTTGCTTCTCTCTCTCTCTCTCTCTCTCTCTCTCTCTCTCTCTCTCTCTCTCAGGGCTCCCCATTCCCCTTTCTTTCTCCCTCTCCATCATGTCCTGTTTCCCCCCCTTCCCTCCATACCCTAATAAACCTTTTGCATAGAAAAAAAACAAAAACAAAAACAAAAAACAAAACTCAAGCAGCTTCCCAAGGGCCCAATTCCCTCTGCAGAGCCCATCAGCTACAGGGACAGGGACAGCAGTGGACACTCCCCGCCAGCTCCTGTCCAGAGCCTCTTCCATCTCTTCCGAAGCTGCTGCTAGCGGCAGGAGGCCAAACCACATGCTGTACACAACAGGTGGCCTTTTAGACCCCTGAGTTGTATAACTGCTTCCCGAGTTACAGCTCCTAGATGTTTATGACAAGCTTCCATTTAGCTCGGTCCTCACCTGGCCTACCAAACCCTGTCCTGTGGGCACCGGGAGCACCTGTTCAGTTGGGAGCTGCTGCTTCTCAGGTACTTCAGCCAATGGTCTGTCCTGAGCAGGAGCTGGAAAAATAATGGCCATTTTAAGTGAAAAATGCCTGCCAACAGCTGACAGTTCCTTGTCAACATGCTGACTTCTCAGAGAAAGAGACAAAGCAGAGAAGCCAAGAGGCCTGACTCACCGCCAAGGTGAAATACACCATCGTCACTCCGCTTCAGCACAAGATGGTCCATTACCAAAGTGATGGGGACAGGGCCAGGGGATGTTGGATAGATAGGAGGGATATCATCCTGAAGGAGAGAGAGGGAACCATGTGACTAATCCACCTAGCTCAGGGCAGCATGCCCATGCTTCTGCCAGTCAGCTCAGAGCCGTTTGATGCCACGGATTTTAATACATTTATGTATTATCCATGTATCTCTGTATGTGTCTGCGTGTGCATGCCAAGGCCCTCATATGGAAGTCAGAGAGCAATTTGTGAGAAGAGGTCTCACTTTTCAGCCCCAGGGATTACACCCAGGTCATCACGTTTGGCAGCAAATGTGTTTACCATCTTGCTAGTTCACCCATACATTCTTGCAAGATACAAGAGGCATAACCAAGCCTCATCCATCCTAGAGAGGGTGAAACTGAGACAAACCAGGAGCCTGGTGCAATTATGTTACAGGTCAAAGAGAGGATCAGGGTTACAGATAACCTAGGCTTTTTGAGTGTGTGTGTGTTCAGATTCACATGTGCTCAGGCACATACACGTTCCTGTATGTGCGCATGTGCAGGCCAAGGCATCTACCTCAATCATGCTCCTCCTTAATTTTTTAAATGTTTATGTGTATAAATGTTTTATATACTCGTATGTATATGTACCACACACAGAGGTCAGAGATAGTGTCAGATCCCCTGGAACTGCAGTAACAGATGGCTGTGGGCCACCATGTGAATGCTGGGGGAAAAAAACTCAGGTCCTCTGCAAGAGCAGCAAGAGCTCTTAACCGCTGAGCTATCCCTCCAGCCCCTCCCAGCACTACTTCTGAGACTGACTCTCACTGAACCTGAAGCTCATTGGTCGGGAAGTTCCAGGAAGTTCATGCTCCTCCTCCTCAGAATACATCTTTTAACTGTGAGAAGGGACTTAAGCTCAAGTCCTCATGCTTGAGCAGCGAGCACTTTACTGGAGAGCTGGCTTCCTGCCCCAGTTTAGGCTTTTACCTGGGCCGCCCATTTCCACACTACTGAATACTGGCAGAGAATGCCAATCCTTTCTTCACTTGCCCAGCGACTGAGAAGAGATGGAAGACACTGTCACTCAGAGCCCAGCACCCGCCACGGCCCTGCTCACCCTGAGAGTAATACTGGAGCGCAGGAGCTCAATCTGCATGGGGACTACCACTGGGACTTCCTCGTCCTCCAAGAAAGGCCCCAGGCTGTTCAGCACTGATGTGAGCAGCTCCAGGTCACAGCCCCGTAATAAGAACCGCAGGAAGCCATTCTGTATGGCCAGTGGGGAATGAACAGCTGCACCAGGCCCCACCTCAAAGCGCAGCCCCACAGCAGGCCTGGTGTGGCCAGTCTTCAGATTTGAGGGTTCCTGAGAACTTGTGCCTTTGGAAAGAGAGCCCAAAAAAACATGTTAATCTAGGACTATTGCAAGCACTTCAGCTATGCCCATACTCATGATGGCCCTATGCCAACATATTAGCACCATCCAACCCCACAGGAATGAACTAAGGCACAGGAAATGACTTGCCCAAAGTCACACAGTCAGGTATCGCAAAGGTAAGACTGAAGCCAGGCAGTCCGAGCCCATAACCTTAGACTCTTTGTTAAAATGCCCCTCAAGGCCTTGCCGTGAATCTGAGGCGCTGGACTGTCAGCACAGCAAAAGTGTTTAAAACACGGACATGCAATTCCCAAATTTAAGCATGTCTCCCTTCTCTGAAGACTTGGCACTGGCATCTGCACCTTACCAATGCCAACCCGCACAGGAATTTTAATCCAGCAACATGGCTGCTCTGGCAAGTCTTTCTAGGCCGATGTGATCCAGCTGGAATGCAGACATGTTCTGGATTACATTATGATCTAGCTAGATTATGGACACACCCTTATATACACCTTTAATCCTAAACAATGAAGGTAAGATTACTTTGTAGAAGGAGCAGCCATCAGTTTGAAAATGATGTCTAATTGAGGGGCAAACAGTGACAATGAGAGAAAGATTTGACAAAATGAGTCAGAGATAAGATACACCCAATAGACAGAGAAGGGAGGCTGCTTCAGAGCAGTACAGGGAGAATTGATTACTAGGACAGTTTTACAGGCTGCAGAGAGAATAAGCTAGACACAGGTGAAGACAGAACAAGCCAGGAATGAGGAGCCAGAAAATTAAAACATATTGCCAGAATTAGTTTGAGGCTAGGCAGAGCAATTCAGTCAGAAGCCAAGGCTAAGAGAAGCCAGTTTGAATCAGTCAGCTTGGAGATGAAGAGGAAGAAGAGAAGAAGAGGAGGAAAAAGAGAAAGAGGATGAAGAAAAAGATTTGTTAATAATAACAATGTTTTGTGAAATAAAAAATAACACTATGAGTCTATTTAGAAAAATATTCAAAAGTAAATGTCACATTGATAGAAACACATGGAAAATGAGATGTGAAGCAAGAGAATAGTGAGCACTAAACTCAAGCAGAGAGTTGCTCAGGACACTGCTCAGAGGCAGTGTCAGAGGCAGTGTCGGGGAGAGCTCCCAGCAGCCGCTGCTGTGCGAACAGAGCAACTGGGAGGAGTAAGTGTCCCCTGCAGTGTTGCTGTTTGATGCAAACTTTATAAATATCCTTTGTACCTACTTAAGATTTTTAAAAATGTTAAATGAAACCTATAACATAAGTCATATTTGCAATAAATGATCGTTTATATGAAATAAATGAGCATGAATGAGTGAAGTCCCCCATCAGATAAAGCTTTCTGTTGGCAGCCACAAGGCCAAAAAAAGAGGGCATGCCTCCTGTTTAAGCCCGGTGGGCCTGGAGGTAAGTGATGTTCAGGAAAAGCTCCAGGGAGCCTCCTGCAGTCAATGGCTACCACAGAGAAGAGAAATCGGCTGCCCTTACAGCACAGGGCTCGGTGCCAGGGGCTAACCTCCTCCACCTCAGGTGAATCCCACCACTTTTCTGGAATGTCCATCATCCATACCTGGGCACTGTCCATGAAGAAACTGCCAGAGTCCCACGGTGCCCAGCTGCTGTACAGCCAGTTCCTCTGCTTGCAAGGCTACTGTCAGGTCCTCACCACGAACCTCAATCCCAAATGATACTTCATTCACTTTCAGGACCAAAACTGACACCTGTCAAAACAGCTTCTCTTAGTTGTAAGTCCCGAGCGTCACACCTGACCGAGAGCCTACCCTCTGCACAGAAGAGAGAGTGGCAGCTGACCGAGTGAAGGACGAGGTCACCGCTGGCTGACACTGAGCTGTTGGTCTCTGGCAACCCCTGGCCGCAACTATCCGTAACAGGGCTCCCTTGAACACCACTGTCATCCAAGACACTTGTCCCAGATCCTGGTGGAACAGACTCTGGACCAGACTCTGCATGAAGAAGGTAATGAAAGAATTGAATTCAGAAGTCAGAAAGATCCGTTCACATTAGCCTCTAAAGCCAGCAACAACTCTAAAAACAAATAAAACTGGACATTTAAAAACTAACTAGAGAGTTTATGGATCTAAGGACTGTTAATTTTTAAAGTGCAATACTGTATTTGGAAAAAAAAAACTTTTTAAAATGCTATATTTGGTCAAATTTAATACAACCTGTAAACAGAAGCAACCTGCACGTCCGCTGGTGGTCAACAGATAATCAGCATAGGGTATAGATGCATAAAGAACTACATTTGGACTTGAAGTGAAAGGAAATTCTACAGTACACACATTAAACCTAGAGTCTGGTGTGCACTGTATTAACTAGAATAAACAAATCATAAATAGGTGAGCAAGCAGCTACAGTAGCACATGCCTGGAATCCACGCACACAGGAGAACAGTCGAGGATCATGGGTTGGAGACCAGCCTGGCCTACACAGTGAGACCTGACTCAAAAAGCCAAAACCACGACTGAAGAGATGGCCCAGTGGTTCACAGCACCGGCTGCTCCTGCAGAAGACCTGGTTCTGTTCCCAGAGGCTAAGAACTGCCTGTAACTCCAGCTCCAGGGATCTAATGCCCTCGCTGGCTTCCGAGGGCACCAGTACTCACATGCACATGTCCGTACAGACACAGAACTAAAGCAAATAAACATCTTTTTAAAAAGCCACAGCCATCCCCCAAAAATACAAAACAAGTGTTTACAAGAATGTGGAGAAGAGCTGGACCATGTGGCACACACGTTTCATCCCAGCATTAGGGAACGGTAGTCAGGCCATCTCTCAGAGTTCTGGGCGTCTACAGTCAGGGCTACACAAACAAACTGAGGGGCGGGGAAGAGCAGAAGAAAAAAGAAAGAAGGTGAAGACGACAGACTCCATCCCCACACAGCGCTGGGACGATGAAAATCAGTCCAGGCGTATGCACAACAGCAGCTCTCAGAGTAAGAGTTCCTGCTCTTTTCTTTCTGCTGTCACCATGCCATCCAGAATGAAGAAGACACAAAAACTCTGGGGCTAAGTAAGCCACAGTCACAGCGGCATCAATAAGCGCCCAGGAGGCCACGGGAATGCTGGAGGCATGCATCACCACAGGATCAACTTCGACAAATATCATCCAGGTAACTTTGGGAAAGTTGGTATGAGGCATTACCCACTTAAAGAGGAATCAGAGCTTCTGCTCAGCCGTCAACCTCAATAAATTGTGGTCCCTGGTCAGTGAGCAGACACGGGTCAATGCAGCAAAAAAAAAAAAAAAAAAAAAAAGACTGGGACTGCTCCCATCATTGATGTTGTGCGATCGGGCTGCAACAAAGCTCTGGGGAAGGGCAAGCTCCCTAAGCAGCCTGTCATCGTGAGGGCCAAATTCTTCAGCAGAAGAGCTGAAGAGAAGATTAAGGGTGTTGGAGGTGCCTGTGTCCTGGTGGCGTAAAGCCAGCCAGGGAGGCTAAGTAAATGCTAACATTTTCCATGAAAAATAAAGAGTAAGCGTTCCCACATGACCTAGCGACCCCACTTTCAGCTATACTTAAAGAAATACAGTAGTGCAGTCAAGGAATGTGTGAACTACCATGGTTACTGCAGCCTATTCACAACTGCCCAGTCACACAACCAACAAGTGCCCATTATCCAGCAAATACGGGGAGTGTGTGCACGCGTGTTCAGGAAAAGCTATCACTTGAGACAGTGTGGACAGAGGCACAAAGCACACGCTGGCACTCCTATGTGGTACAGGGAACAATCAGACACTGCACACAGAATGGTGGTTACTAGGAGCTGTCAGGGCAGGGAATGGAAAGATGGCGGCCGGAGGCTGCAATCCTCCAGCTGCACAGGAGAGCAGACGGCACATTTGTGAGACAGCATACATCACCTCACAGACACATACATTCCAGTTTGCCCAATAAGAAATACAGGGAAAATACAAGGAAAAGGTTGGGACTCAGCCAGAGCACTCACCAGCACCCTGAGAGCCTCCATTAGAGCAACACCAAAACAGTAATTACAATAACATATGAAAGACATAAATGTGTCCTTCAAATATTCTGAGGGAATCATTTAATAAGTTTCTGTTTTGATAAGCTAAAAGCATGTGACTTCCAAACTGATAAATTTAATTCCTAAAATCTAATCGACATAATCTAATCGACGTATGGGGCTAAACAGACAGCTCAGTGGTAAAGAGCTCAATTTGTTCTTCCAGAGACCCTTGGAACTTCCAGGAGATCTGATGCCATCTTCTGGTGTCTACAGCACCATACACACATGTTGCAGAAACGCAGAGGACAGCCGATACCCATAAACACAATATATACATAATTATATGTATTATACTATCATAAATCATTTCTAAAAATTTAAGTTAACCATTGTAGCAACAGACAAAAAAAAAAAAACAAGTTATTTTCCAACAACAAAACACACAGGCAAGGGCTGGACAAATTGCTCAGAGGTTAAAAACACCAGCTGCCTTTGTAAACACCCGCTAGGATCTCACACCCACACAGCAGCTTGTAACAGTCCCTGACTCTAGTTCCAGGGGATCCAACACACTCTTTTGGCCTCCACGGGCACCAGGCATGCACACGAATGTGTATACTTATACACATTCAGACAAAGCACTCACACATGTAAATGAATATAGAATTAATATCAACAAATTAAACATAATAAAATAAATAAATCTTTCAAAATTTATACACACACACACACAGGCAAAAGAAATCCCAGACAGCAAGTATGTGCCACTGACGACACAAAATCCGCCCTGATCAGCTAATCTTGTGGCTCTAGGACTAAAAATTTGACTTTAATCTTTTTCTGTGATAAATGTTAAATATTAAACAATAACCTGTAAGAGAGCTAGAAGGAGTCATGGCAAGAAAACAGGGAGTTCAAGGCTAGCATGGCTTACATGAGACTCCCCCACCCCACCCCCCACAAAACCCCAAAAAATAAATTTAAAAATGACCTAGGGAATGAGGACCTAAGGCCATGAACACGATCGTGCCAGTCCTCTCTTTTGTTTTGGTGAGAACCGTCTACTCTCCTGCCTCAGTCCCACGAGTCCTCCTGCTGTGAGCGTCAGCCACAGAGCTCTCTCTGCACTGATGCGGCCTCATACCCACATACCAGCCTCCAAGAGCATCACAAAGCTGTCACTGCCATCACTGTCCACCGAAATCCGGTCCTCAGGGCCAGTGCTGTCCACCGAGACAACATCAAATGACTGCTGAGAGACTGTCCTCTTCATGGAGAAAAACCGGAGCCGGGCAGCAGCTCCAGTCACTGGGGGTCCCTCATCAGGCTTCACCATGGCTTCCCTATGTTAAAAATAAAAATAAAAATAAACCAAACCCACCAAGTCAGCTTTGAAGACTTGTTTGTTCTCAACCTCAGGCTAATACGTTTCCCTAGCTCAGCCAGTTAATGTGAACACATGCTTGCTATCTCCAATGGCCTTTCTGACTCCTCCTGTTTGAGCATTTTAAAACTTAAAACAGCTAATAACACTAAATCTCAAGGTTACTGGGGTTCACAAAAGAGGCCAACCACCCTGGTGATAAGTGGTCCCCAAAGCCACATGCATTCACCCTGCAAGTCTTGTTTCTTTAATGTGTGTATGTGGGTGCAGGCACATGTCTTTTGTGTATGTTCAGAGGCATAGCCCCTGCGGAGGCCAAAGACCTCCTTGAGCTGAGCAACAGAAGGCTGTGAGCTGCCTGACTCGAGTCCCGCCGAGAGCTCTTAAAGGCTGAGCCGTTTCCACAGCCCCATTCCGCAAGTCTTTACTCAACTGCTCTGGAGAGACACGTGCGGGTGGGTAGACTGATGGGAAGGGCATCCCTGCCCACAGGAGGAAGACTGGCAGATAGTCACGTTCTGAGACACCAAGTCATTCCTGCCCTAAGAGGCTGAAGGCCAGAGGACAGATGACCAAGAACAGCGTTTTAGGAAACGTTTTCTTTTTTCTGAGACAGGGTTTCTCTGTAGCCCTGGCTGTCCTAGAACTCGCTCTGTAGACCAGGCTGGCCTCAAACTCACAGAGATCCACTTGCCTGCCTCCCAAGTACTGCGCTACCACCACCCAGCTTCTTCCTTTGGTTTTGAAATTAAAGTCTTGCCCTGTAGCCCTGGCCAGCCTGGATCTCGAGATCTTCCCAAGTTCCAGGATTACAAGTCTGTGCCACCACACAAGGTTCAGGCGCCAGCACTAAAGTGTATCCCAAAGGGCCGTGAAAGAGCCGAAGCAGACAGCACTTGAAGAGGGAAAGGGCACAAACCGCAAAGTGAGACATGACGTGACTGCCCAGCAGCTCGACCTGGCTCGGCTCAGGCACAGAGGGTGGGTCATGGGAGAGCAGAGGAGAACATGCTAAAGACAGGTGGTTGACTTATCTGAGAGGTGAGCCAACAGCTAAAGGTGGGATGAAGACCAACCTATGTCCTCTAACCTCCACCAAGTGTTCTCATACAACACAAGGATTGCAACCAGATTATTAAAAAAGCTTTAATTAAAGATTTTTTTAAAAACTTGGTGGGGGTTGGTGTCTTTTTGTGACAGGGTCTCAAACTCATCCTAATGTTCTAGATTACCAGAGTTCTGGGATTACAGAAGTGGGTAGCTTTAAAAATTCTTAAAGATGGGCTAGAGAGATGGCACAGAGGTTAAGAGCACTGGCTGTTCTTCCAAAGGTCCCGAGTTGAATTCCCAGCAACCACAGGGTGGCTCACAACTATCTATAATGAGATCTGCTGCCCTCTTCTGGCGTGCAGGCACACATGCAGACAGAACATTGTATATATAATAAATAAATAAATCTTTAAAAAAATTCTTAAATGCGGCTGGATAGACAGCACAGTGGTCAAGAGCAAGAGCTGCTTTCCCTAAGGACCTGAGTTCAGTTCCTAGCACCTATGCAGCAGCTCAGAGCCACTTGCAAGTCCAGTTTCAAGGGATCCAACACCTTCTGACCTCTTCAGATGCTGTGCCCATGTGTTCAGACATAAATGCAAGCAAAGCACTCAACATTAAAATTAAGAAAAAGAAATACCTGGGCAGTGGTGGCACATACCTTTAATCCCAGCACTCGGGAGGCAGAGGACCTCGGATCTCTGTGAGGCCAGCCTGGTCTACAGAGTGAGTTCCAGGAGAGCCAGAGAAGTGCTGTCTTGAAAAACCAAAGTAAAATAAGATAAAATAAAGCTTTAAAAAGAAGAAAAGAAACAGGGAGGCCAGGAAAAGGCAAATGAAGGCCATCAGTGTGAAGGTATTCAAGAGTCTGTCCATCCTTTTCTTCTTCATCTCTCTTCTCCCTCCCTCCCTCATCTCCATCTAGAGAAGGGAGAGTTAGTGACTAGGAGCCTGGCTTTCACCTTTATCCCTCCACTCACAAGTTATGTGACTGACACAGGACTTTAATAAAATAGTAATAATTCATGTTCCAGCGGAGCCGTATGATCTTCGACAAGATCCTGCCTTGCCAAGCTGTTTCCTATGGAATGGGACACGGAATCAGTATGTGTCCCATGGGCCCACAAGAATTCAATGGGCAAATGCCACACTAAAGGCAGAAGCTGGCACACAGAGACCTTTAGACTAGTGTTATTACACCTCCCACCCCCTTTTGCATTGTGCGCGCTCACATGTATTCACGTGTGCTTACGTGTCTACAGACGCACATGAAGGCTGGAGGTCAGCATAGGTGTCTTCCTCAACTTCTTCACCACATTGTATTTTGGACAGGGTCTCTCAGCTAACCTCTCAACAACTTGGTTAGAAATGGTGGCCAGCAAGCCCAAGGCATCCTCCTGTCTCCTCCTCATTGGCGTTAAGACTGCAGGTGTGTGCCCAGCTTCCTTTTATGTTCACATTGGGGAAAGCAGCTAAGCCATCTCCCCAGCCTCCATGGATCCTTCTGAGGACTCCTTTCCTTCCTCCGTGGCTGCCCACCCTTGCAGGTACTTCACACACAGACATTAGAGACTCACAATTCGTATAGAAGGAGCTGGGGGGATGGTTCCTCAGCAAAAGCATCTGCCAAGCAAGTATGAGGACCAGAGCTCAGATCCCTAGAACCCACAAACTGCCAGTGGACATGGCACCCCTCCCATAACTCAGGCGTGGAAGGCAGAGACAAGCAAGCTAGCCAGCTACACTAAATGGACAGATGAGCTCTGGGTTTGCCCAAGATCCCACCTCAATGAGAAAGGTGAAGAGTAATCCAGAATGATTCCCAACATCAACCTAAGACCTCCACACAAATGCACACCCACATAAAAATGAGAAGAGGGCCTGGAGAGATGGCTCACTGGTTAAGAGCCCCGGCTGTTCTTCCAGAGGTCCTGAGTTCAATTCCCAGCAACCATACGGTGGCTCACATGCATCTGTAAACCCAATCCCAGGGTATTTGATGCCCTCTTCTGGCCTCCTTGGGCACTGCATTTTTATGCAGAAAAAAAATCCATACACAAAAATAAAGTTATTTAACAGAAAAAGAAAAGAAGCGCTACTTCTTGACTGTAATAGTCTGTGAGCCACCAAATGTCCCAGAGGAGACTTGCACGTGCTCCACTGTCTTTTCTAAAACCACAAAAAAACCTCAGAGAAAACCCATTGTCTTCCACCTTCTGAGGACGCTTCTGTGTTTCTCTTTCACCCTACTACACCTCTAACACGCAGCACAGGGCCTGGCACACAGTTAGATCTCAGCCTGTTTCCTCCTCTGTCCCTGACAGACACCAGTGTGGCGCTGCCACAAGGAGCAAGGGCAAAGGCCTGCTCTTCTGGTCATCGGATGAGCCCAAGAGCACAGCCTCCCTCGCTCTCACCAGAAATACAAAGGTCCATATGGGGATCAAATTAAACAAAGAAATCACAAGATAACCCACTGCAATGACTGTTACACCAAAGTCAGGCGCAGTGGCACACACCTGTAATGCCAAGACTCAAGAAGATGATGTCAGAAAACTGAAGGTTACATGAAAAAAAAAAAAAACCTGTTTCAGCACTAATAAAATTTTTGTTGCATTATGGAAGGAAGGAAAGGAGGGAGGGAAAAAGAAAGAGAGGCAGGGAAGAACAGAGAAGGAAGGAAAGAAGGGAAGGAGAGAAAGTTAGGAAGTTAGGAAGTCAGTCAGTCAGTCAGTCAGTTAGTTCTAGACCAATCTGGGCAATATCGTAAGACACTATCTTGTCCCAAAACACAAGCAAACACACAATATTTATTTAGACCAGGAGTTATGGCCTGGTGCTGGTGATAACAGTACTTGCCTAGCATTTCCAAGGCCTTGGTTTCCTTAGGAACAAGAACAAAATATGGGTGTCTGATATAGCCTAGTCTGTGCCGGTAATTGTGAGGCTACACACCCTAAAAAGCTACAGATGTTGACTTTGAAGCCTTCGCAGTCACCAGCCACGCTTTCTCTAAGAGTGCACATGGCAGAGAGCCGTGAGCCCAAAGGTCACAACTGGAGAAAGCAGCAGTGACTGAAGGAGGCCGAGGACCACTCACTTGGCAGGAGGCAGGGACAACATCTTGTGCATGGTGGAGGTCATCCGATCTCTACCCAAACTGAAGGCATCCCTAGTCAGGGACACAGCTTCCTTGGTGAGGTCCATGGTAGCATGAAGAGCCTCTTTTGTGGCATCCTTGGTCAGGTGAATAGCACTGGATAATTCCCCTTCAATGTTCCTCAAAGGTATGGGCTCGCCTTGTCCATTCAGAGCAGCGTCCCTATCAGCTGGGGACGTCAAGGCAGCTGGTGAGCTGGCGGTCTGAGCTCTGCTCAACTTCTTGGCCTGCAGAGACTCGACTGCCTCATGGCTCTTCCCTGCTGGCTGCTGTGCAAATGAACCAAAGTCCTGTAGCTCTCCATCACTATGCAGCCTTTCCTGGGATGCATCGAGGTTTCCAACACTGCTGTCCTTCAGGACCTTCTGAGGGCTTACTGGGCCCTGGTCTGAGGAGGCATCCGACTTCAGTTCCCGGTCCTCTGACGGAGAGAGCTCTGAGTCTATGAGGCTGGTGGTATCTGAGCCTGCAGAGTCGGCACCAGCAGTCCCAGGGGCAGGATGCATGAGGAGAGCCACCTCAGCACTAGGGAAGAGGACACCAATGCAAGCTGTCTGGTCCTGCAGGGGAGAGCCGGTCATGGCCTCCGTGTCCTGGGTCAGCTGCTCCTGAAGCCCCTGAAGCACCTCCTTGAGGCGGAGCAGAGCCAAGTACTGGTAGTGGTCCAGCCTGACTCTGACATGGGCAGGAGAGTGCACGAGCACATGGACATCGGCCACGTCCCCCAGCTCTGCCACGTGCCCTCTGTGCTCCGAGGCAGCATCACCCTCTCCCGGGAACGCTGGGACTGCTGCAGACCCCGAGAGGCTTTTCAAATCTCGTTCAGTCTTTGACCTCTGATGGGACACAGACTCGGGGGCAAGAGCTTCAGAGTGCACAGGACTGCCAAAACTGGCTGACGGTTTCAGCCTCCCCTCTGAGGCCAAAAGGAGCCGCCGTGCCTGGGCTTGCTGCCAGCGGAGAGGAAGGCAAGCCCAAATGGACAAGGGAAAGGGGGCCACAAAGTTCAGAGTATGGCCTTTGAGGTTTTCTGTGCCTTCAAAGTCCAAGCAGACCTGAGTAAAGTGCAAGGACCAAAGATCCTGGGATGCTGCAGGCCTCTGAGGAGGGACAGGGCTAGGCTGAGCTGGGTGGGAATCCATCTGGAAAGCATGATGCAGGAAGAGCATGTGCAGAAGGCTGAAGCCCCCCGGAGCCTTGGGAAAGTGACCATAACTAGAGCGGAAGAACTCGGCAGCAGCAAAACCCTGGAAGAGACTCTGGAGGTCAGGACAGGTGCAGTGTGGGGCGTGCCGAGTGTTGGTGGCAATCACGCCTGTCGTAGAAAAGACAAGCGCCTGGGGTCGATGCAGCTTCGCCTGCTCTCTCCTCTCGAGCGGGAAGCTCACCTTCAGAGAGAAAATGAAACACAGTTAAGGCCTCCGAGCAAGTCTGAGGCATCTAAAGCCGATTTTCTTACTTCCTTCAAGTGGACACAGCAAGAATGCAGACCAGAGCCTCGGAGGGCATGTAGCTGTGTCTACAGACAAGTCCCTACCTTCAACGAGAATGCATCCAGTCGAATGTCCAAGTGCTCATCTTTCTGCCTTGAATCTTCCAGCTTATAGATGGCTTTGAACTGCTCCAAGCTGCGGTATAAATCTAGACAAAAGAGGTTTCCCCAAAGCAAGCTGACAGGATCCACAGTAAATGCCAGGCCATTTAACTGGACGTAGAGGTTGGGGCAGGGAACTGGAAGCAGAGAAAACAAGGACCATCATCGACAGCGCAGCACAGACTGACTGACCATCTGACATCTTCCTATCACAACAGCAAAGACAACCCTGCACGCAGCACAGCTTTGCTTGTTTTGCTTTTGACAGGATCTCACGCCCTCCAGGCTGACCTCAAACTCACTATGTAGCCATGGATGATCCCGGAAGACCATCAACCTCTGTTAACCCTGCCTCCACCTCCCAGAGTGCTGAGGTTTTAGGTGAGCATCTCCACAATCGATCATGCATACTGGGCACGGCCCCATGGCAAAGTTTAACTCAGGCACACAAAATTAACTTAAACACAGACTATAACCAGCAGCCTCAAAGCTGACAAAGGTGACGGGCATCCACAGAGGGAACGGCCAGCCCGATGCTTACCTGGAAGCTCCTGATTATCCGGGAAGTAATACTCAGTGAACTGTACATGGACAGCAGCTACCTGAGCCGGAAGGTGGTGGCGTTTGCGGCTGCAGGAGAGCAGAGTGGACGGTTTCTTACTCGGCTGTCCAGCTGTGGAGACCTAAGTAACCACAAGTACAACTGAGCCTGTGTCACAGCAACCAGGGCAGACTGTGCTCCGAGGAACACAGCCATCCTCCCACAGCCTTCCCTGAGGGGAGCCCAGAGCTTTGTACACATGCTCCAGGCCCTTTCCCACGTGTTCTGCACTACCCCCAAGCTGCTGATCTTTTTGTTTGGGGGATGGGCTGGTCACAAACTGGAAGTGTAGCACAGGATGGCTGAAGTCCTACCTGCAATTTCAAACTAGTGGCTCAAAGACACCTTAGCCAGTCCAAGCTTGTTCTCAGCAGAAGGCTGTAACGCAGCACTCTGAGAACATGCCGAGGCCTTTCTCAGAGGCCATGCTCAACACAAACTGAACAAACTGTCCATCTACTCAGAAGTGGGGCCCGCAGGCCCTGGCTTCCACATCTTCATGTATGCTGTCCCCCATGCCCTCACCTGGTGGATGTCCAAGTCATCTACTCGCACAACCAGGCAGCTAGAGCGTAAGCGATTCCATGCTGGAGGCCCCAAGGCAGCCTGGTGGCCCAGGGCAGGGCTTTTGTCAAGAGGGCTCTTTCCAGGACCAGAGAAAGAGTCTACATAAAAAGGGAAAGAAGTAGCTACATTCATTGCTCATTATTAATAAAATTTAGAAAGTAAAACCCCAAGACATTAATACCATGAAGTAGCAAAGAGAGCGCAACACTCTGGGTGGGAACCCGGTGGCAGTCTCTGTATGTTCAAAGCCACTGCGGCCAACGGGAACTGGAGAAGAGAGCGCCGCTGGCATCACGCAGTGAGATACCGCTGGGTGAGCAGGCATGCACCGCTTCACCTCCACCAGCCATCTCCGCAGCCTCGCAGAAAGAGCCTCCACGTCCTCAAGACCTACCTGCTTTCTTCCGGAAGGGAGCCTCTACCCCCAGGTGCCATGATGGTCTCACACTGGTCTCCTCAAGCCACTTCTGCATCTTACTCTGAAACTCCGTCACCAGTTCCTGGGCCCAGTGGCCTCGGGTCTCCATGGCCTCACAGTGCCGCACCCAGTGCTTACAGCTGTCACCTTGGGATAGAGAAGGAAAAGGGTTCAGCCCAGTACTCCAACGTCGTCTTCCTGTCAGAGTTTAGAATTAAGCCGGGCATGGTGGCTCACGCCTGTGATCCCAGCACTCGGGAGGCAGAGGCAGCCTGGTCTACAAAGTTCAGGTCAGCCAAAACTACAGAGAGATATCCTGTCTCAACAACAACAACAACAACAAAAAAAAAAAAGAGTTCAGAATTAAGATCCCAACCACAACCCAGAATTTCCTGGGATAAGAAGAGTGGCTCCTGAGAACAGCATGCTCTTCCAAGCTTCATATACAATTCTCACTCCCTGGGGCTCCAAAAGGCCACTTTTGACTATGGGTTTCTAGGAAGGTTTAACCCTGGTGATCTTGAGGGGTCGAAAGACCACCCAGGTTTGCAGCTGTCTCTTATCAAGATATCCCCAGCACCCTCCGAACACAGGCAGCAACACCCAGCACCTTTTGCTGGCTGGTCAGGGTATGAACCGAGAAATCCACCTCAAATATCTGGAGCCATGCTCAAGGTGTTAAATTTCTCTAACCTGCCCGGTGGAAGGGATAGTAGTCGAACGCCATCTGGCGGAAGGTCAGCTGCATGGCACCACCCGTAAGTCTGTTTGCAGAGACGCCTGTGAAACAAAGAGCCAGGTGAGCAGCAGGGAGGGGCGGGGAGCCTAAGTAGCACATGAACCCCTAGGGGACTGAAGCCTGATCCTCTTGCAAGAGCAACCAATGTTCTTGACTGATGAGCCCTCATCTGTGCTTCCTATGTGAAAAATACATAAAGGTTCCTTTGTTGAATTTGTGGGTAAGAAACAGTAATTGTTTTAAATTAGCTATTTCGAAGCTATTAGTATTTAACTTAAATTTAAACCTATAATTACTAATAATTTGGGGGGGATTTTTGGTGATTTTTAGGCAAGGTCTCATGAAACTCAGGCTAGTCTCAAATTTACTACCCATAGCTACAGTGACCTTCAACTCCTGACCCTCTTGCCTCCACCTCCCAACGGCCAGAATTATACCTTGGACAACTACAACAGTGTGCTCTTTCTATTTGGGGAAAGGGTGCTCTTGAGACAGGGTCTTGCCACATGGCACAAGCTGAACTCAACCTCATGGCAGGGCTTCTGCCACAGCCTCCAGAGCACTAGGATCACGCGTGTGCACCACCACAACATCCAGCGCTCGCACTGCACTGAGGAGCCCCGGCTGGCCTCACACTCAAGAGGCCCATCTAGGATGGGCACTCACCACCACTCCAAGGCCTAAAGCAACACTGGGAAGAAATTACTGCACAAATAATTGTTTTAGTCATCACTTCCTCTGGTGGGAAAAGCCATGTTTACCTGCCATTGCTCATGTCCCCTCTAAAAATGGAAGTGGAGTCACTGAAGACCAAGGAACAGCAAACTAGAAAGGCAGTACTGTTTGGTGGCCCAGGAAGAAAAAGCAAGCGTGCTCCTCTGAAACTGAATCCTAGTCTCACTACAAAAGACAAATATGCAGCAGGAGGCGTGGCTAGCGCTACAGCACCTGCACAGCACCCACAACCCCCGGCACCACAAAATCAGTAAGTGAGGGGCAAACAAAGCGCAGGCTGCAGAGTTAAAATCCAAAGGGAAAGCTGCCACGTGTGAGCAGGAGAAAGCATGAGCAAGTAAAAGGTGCACAGACAGTGGTGAAGAAGCAGGCAGTGGTCTAGTGACTGTGACGGCTGCCAGCAGATTCTCTTACTTGAGCCTGACAATGGCTTTGAGGTAAATGAGCAAAGGCTGATCACACTCAGTTTCACAAATGAGGGTACTCAGAGAAGTGAAGCAAAAGGTTATTGATCATAGAGAAATAAGTCACTCTGAATAAATACAAATACAAATGTGTGATACTCTTTTAAGTATGCCACTGACGTCACTTCCCTACACATACAAACACGACATATATAACTGGGGGAAGGACTGAGACAGGGTTTTTCTGTGTAGCCCCAGCTGCACTAGGATTCGCTCTGTAGAGCAGGCTGGCCTCAAACTCTAAGAGATCCCCTTGCTACTGTCTCCCTAGTACTGGCATTAAAGCTGTGTGCCACTACATCTGACTATCGCAACACAGTATCAAAATGACTCCAAACTGAACATTCTGGTTCTGGGTGGGGCTGGAGGGCAGAGCATGGGTCTGTTTGGTATATACACAAGGTCTGGATTCAAGCCTTAGCTCCAAAGACAGAAATCTGAAAACTGAGGCTTCCTGTAACTGAATTTATTTTCCCTACAATTACCGACCAGTGGTTCTCAACCTCTAGCGAACACCAGCATTTCTCCAGAGACTTGGGGAGAAAAAGTTTCATGCCGATTGGGCTCGATCCTTGAAGGTCTGCAGTAGCACGGTGGGAAAAGGGCCAGCCATGTGTATACCGTGTGCCAGGTGGCTCCCCCACCCTCTAAGGGCTGGATGGAGGGCACCACTTCATGCCAACAAAGAGCTACCACAGGGGGCGGCCCCCAAGCAATGCCTGAGATTAAGGGAACTGACCAAGGCTGAATGCCAGTGTCTGCAGGAAGAAACCTTCATTCCAGGCTCTGCCCTCAAGATAGACAATGATGTACAACCAGTCAGCCTCAGGCCTCATAGGTACCTGGCTCTCGGGACTGGCTGTCATCACAAATATGCAGGTCCAGGCGGGAGATGAGGAGATGGTAGGAAGACTCTTTGACATCAAATTTCTCAAAATACTGGCTCAGGCGACTACTGCTGCTGTTGCTGTTGCCCTGGCTGCTACCAAATGCCTGAGCCCAGGTCTGTTGGGCACTGGGACTGGGAGCAGGTGGAGTGATCTACATGTAACAGAGAGAGAAACGTCAGTCAGGATCTGAAGGCTGCTCTACCCTGTCAATTCCCAGCACCCACATGGTGGCTCACACCTGTCTTTAACTCCAGCTCCAGGGCTTCTAACACCCTCACACAGACACACCTTCATGCAAAACACCAATGAATATAAAATACAAATAAATTAAATATTTAGAAAGAGAGACAGAGGTTGGGGAGGTGGCTCAGCTGTTGGGAGCACTGGCTGCTCTTCCAGAGGACCCAGGTTCAAATTCCTAGCACTCACATGGCAGCTCACAACTGTCTGTAACTCCTGTCCCTGGGGATCCAACACCCTCATACAGACATACAGGCAGGCACGAACACCAATGTACATAAAATAATTATTTAAAAAAGATTGAGTGAGGGGCTAGAGAGATGGCTCAGTGGCTAAGAGCACCGACTACTCTTCCAAAGGACCCTGGTTCAATTCCCAGCACCCACATGGCAGCTCACAACTGTCTGTAATTTCAGTTCCAAGAGATCTGACACCTTCATACTAATGCACATAAAATAAAATAAAATAAATTTTAAAAAAAAGAGTGAAAAAAAGACAGACAGACAGACATCAAGTCCAGACTCTGAGAGGCCCCTTCTGATGCTTTTTGTAAGCTCAGGTCCACATGAATAAATCCAAAATTTAACAGCATCCCTTCTACCTCATAACTGCTATCTAGATGCTCACTTAGCACCACCCCGAGAAAGCAACTCAGACTCCAAAAAGCCCACCCTCAACAAGTCTGGTAACTACTCAAGTGTGTCCTCAGGTTTGAGTTGCCCCCCTCGCTCTCACATACCAGGACTGGACTGACTTCAGGCACATCTAGAACGTCTTCCCTGAGTGCACTGTCCTGCTGGGTGGGCGGTGCCCCTTGTCTGTGCTCTGCGCCACAGGTTTTACCTGTTACAGCACCTGGCACACCACATATAAACAACTTGTCAACTGTCTGCCTTACAAGACAGCGCAAGTCTCAAGGGCAGAAGACAGGCTGACACACTTCCTTCTCGGAGGCTAGCACTCCATCTGACCTCCAGGAGGGACCCAGCGAACTCAGCAAACCGAAGAGGCACAAGATTTCTACTCAAAACTTTCCTCACCCCTCAGCAGGCCAAAACACCTTCACTGCCTGCAACATTGGCAGAAATTAGGGCTGATCAACTCCCTTGCCAGCCCAAGTAGATGTCCAGTCTGTCTCTAACCTGCACAGGCTCGGGAGCCATGCTCTTTCTCTGCTGGGCTGACTTCTCCATGGCCTCACTCAGCGACTCGGCATACTTCATCATTGCCTTGAGCTGGGAGTCAGTCAGCACCCAGAGCAGGTCATCCAGCAGGAACGTCAACTTGGAGGCAACCACATTGCAATCTTTGGTCTGAGGGACACAGAGAACATAGTTTAGCACCTTCCAACCAAGGCCTCAAAGAGACTGTGGCCTGGCTTCCTTGGCAGCCTTTCACCTTCCAGGAGGTGGAAAAGAACCACCAAGCACTTTGGAAAGCCTGTTTCTTACAAAATATCTCAGGTTTGAGTGATTATAAAAAGCACCAGCCAACCCGGAGATGCTCAGGCCAGTGTGCGCACGACAGGGATAGAAACTGTGGCTTGTAAAAGTACCAAACCGGACGATAAAAAGCTTTCCTCCCACTGCTGGGGCCAACAACAACGAGGGCAGTGGCGGATACCAACCTCCCGGCGTTTTCGTGGCACGGGAACGCATACTCACTCTTCTCTTGAGGGCTATTTGGATTCGGCCTTGGTTGGTAATGAGCCTCAGCGGGGTGGTAACTGGGTCCTGATCACCATTATCTGTGGCATCTGCCTCAATTCGAAGTGTCTGCCAAGTTATTTCCTTAAATGTTAAAACCTGGAAGGAGGGAAAGTAAAACCCCTTGATTCTGTGGATCAGATCAACCAGAAGACTGGAGAACTGAGGGACAAGGCGGGCAAGGGAGCTGCTGCTCTTCAACTAACCTCCCAACAACAGAAGGCAGTGGTCCAGATCTGTAACTGAGCAGTAACACTGGGCAGAAAGGACCCAGGTTTCCCAAGAGTGGGGACAGCACCATCCAACCAGGAATAGCATCTTTTAGGGGTTTCTCCTACTTCAAATCCCTCTGTTCACACAACCCCCAGAATGCTAACGCTGTTACCTCTCCTCGGCGGGGGTCAGTGATGCGGGTCAGACGCAGGTCACTCTGCTGCCAGCTGGGGTTGACACTGTAACCCTGGAGCTGCCACAGTTCAAACGAGGCATGGAAGGCCTTGGAGTGGATCTTGATGGTGATAGAGTTGACAATGATGAACATCCCCTCCACCACCTTCTCGGCAAAGCCATACTCACTGCAATGGATGAGGGTCAGTGATCAGAACCACAAGGCAGCAGACAAAACTGCTTATTTTTCTTTCTTCTTTTCTCCTTGTTGCTTTTTTACCCCCTGAATGTTTTGGTTGGGGTTTTTCTTAGCATTTGTTTTAATTCATGTTTATGTGTGTGAGTGTATTGCCTGCATGTCTGTCTGTACATCACATGCTTGTCCTGCCCAGAGTCCAAAAGAGAGAGTTGGGGGGCTGGAGTGATGGCGCAGAGGTTAAGAGCACTGACTGTTCTTCCAAAGGTCCTGAGTTCAATTCCCAGCAACCACATGGTGGCTCATAACCATCTATAATGAGATCTGGTGCCCTCCTCTGGCATGCAGGCATACATGCAGACAGAATATTGTATGATTAATAAAATAAATTTTTTAAAAAAGGGGGAGAGGGAGTTGGAGCCCCGAAACTGGAGTTACAGGTGATAACTGTTGCTGTGTGGGTGCTGAGGACAGAACTCAAATCTGCTAAAAGAACAGCCAGTGCTCTTAACCTCAGAGCCACCTCTCCAGCCTCTTCAAAGACACATAATTCTATAAAAAGGGAATAGAAATGTGAAAGACACACAGACAGGCCAGGGGATATCAGTGTCACTTCCGCTCAAGATGCTACCATCTCCACCCTACCTAGTATAGCCAGGATAGTTCCTTCCACTAGGAAGCCAGAAACATCAGAGAGAGAAGAGGCAGACGCCTGGAAGCACGCAGGCTACAAAACACACATTCTTGAGTCCCATGCTCGTCCACGATGCATTGGCCACCTTCACCACAGTCCGCCTGCTCTCTTCTCTGGCCCGTCCCACTTGAACAAAACAGTCTTCAGAACATCATTTCTTTCCTTTTTTACTTTTATTTGCATTTATTTCCTCAAGACAGGGTTTCTCTTTATGTCCATGGCTGGCCTGGAACTCACTCTGCAGGGCAGGCTGGCCTGGAACTCTGCCTCCCCAAGTGCTGGGATCCCAGGTGTGCGCCACCGTGCTCCGCTCTTATTGCTAACCTTTAAGGACTGGAGGGCATCCGAGGGGCTCAGTCTATTCAGAGGGGCTGGTTGTAAACTGCACTGTTGCCTTGGCCAAGGACTTATAAGCTAAAGCCAACTCTGGAATCACTTTTCATCATAATACCAAAAACAAACAAACAAACAAACAAAAACATTGTAGAGCTAGGTGGTAGCGCACGCCTTGGATCCCAGCGCTCTGGAGGAAAAGGCATCCAGATCTCTTGAGATCAAGGCCAGCTTCGTCTACATAGTGGTTCCAAGACAACCAGACAGACTAAAGTGGGGGAGGATATCTAGAAATTAAAACTGAAAGTTCACATTTATATGCAATTTAGCAACATAGGACTAATAAAAGTTCCAAGATCCCATAAAAATAGAACAAAATACACACAGTTCACAGAAAAAAACCACACTGAACCTCACACACAAATCAAAACTGCAGTGACCGTCTGGGGCGCAGCTACGTGGCAGACCACTTGCCTGCCATGGCACAAGCCCTGGGTTTGATCCATAATATGGTAACAACATGAAAGAGCTGTGGCTCATACCTGTGATCCCAGCACTCAGGAGGCAGAGGCAGGGGGATGTCTGTGAGTTCAAGGCCAGTCTGGTCTACAAAGCAAGTCCAGGACAGCCAAGGCTACACACCAAAGGTTTTCGAGAAACCCTGTCTAGAAGAGAGAGAGAGAGAGAGAGAGGTACACAGATCTCTGTGAGTTTGAAGACAGCAAGTTCTAGGCCAGCACATAGTGAAAACATGTCTCAAAAAGAGAAAAAGATAGAAAAGAAAAGAAAATTGAGAAGTTATATTCCATTACAAAAGGAAAAAGAAGCCCCATGAATCCCCACCTCCAAAGAAAAGCAGAAATGTGACTCTAAGACATGAGAAAAGTACATAAAATGTGAAAAGCAGATAAACTTTGGTAAACTGTTGGGAAGAATCTGAAAGTTTCTTCCAAAGTAAAAATCCCCCACACCATTATCATCTAAGCACATCCCTAGTGTTCATCCGAGACAAACACAAATTCATCTGAATGGGTAGTCACAAAACCCAAAGCGTATAAGTGATATGGCCATTAAGTGAGTGGAAAGCAGGGTATGGTGGCATAGCCTTAATCCCAGCTCTTGAGAAGACCAGGAGTTCCAGGCCAGCCTAAGCTACGCACAATGAATTCAAAGGCAGCCTGGGTACCTGGGAGCTGTCATGGGCTTGGGGGAGTGAAATGTAATGAAGTGTGAGTCAGTGCTAAGCTCTGTGCCCCTAAGTTCACAGCGCCGTTAGTAACACAGAATATGCAGGCACAATGTGGCATCTGGAACTTGCTTTCAAATCCTGGAGTGCACAGAAAGAAAACTGGCAAGATGTTGGTAATTGTTGAGGTTTGATATTTGAAACATGAGGATTTGATAGACTAGCCTATCTGCTTTAGTTGTATGTTTGACTTTTTCAGTAATCAAAGTTTTATTTTAAGCCAGGAAAAATAATTCCAGCATTCATAGGCTAAAGTAAGAATATCAGGAGGGGCTGAAGAGATGGCTCAGAGGTTAGGAACACTGTCTGCTCTTCCAGAGAGTCCTGAGTTCAATTCCCAGCAACCACATGGTGGCTCACAACCATCATATAATATGAGATCTGGTGCCCTCTTCTGTCATGCAGGTGTACAATCAGGCAGGACAGTGTATACATAATAAATAAATAAATATTTTTTAAAAATATGCTCATCAAAAAATAAATAAATCTTAAAAAAAAAAAAAAAAGAATATCAGGGGCCTGGAGAGATGGCTGCTCTTCCAAAGGTCCTGAGTTCAATTCCCAGCAACCACATGATGGCTCACAACCATCTATAGTGAGATCTGGAGCCTTCTTCTGGTGTGCAGACAGAACACAGTATACATAATAAATAAATAAATCTTAAAAAAAAAAAAAAAGAGCGTAAGTTTGAACCAGCCTAGCTACAATGTAAGACAATCCATCACTCAGTCAGCCAGTCAATCAATCCCTTGTCTTTACCTGGGTGCATAGGAACTAACCTCTGTCCTGAAGCAAGGGCAATGGGAGACTGCCCATTGGGGGGCCGCGGGCTCTCACAAGTCTTCATCTCCACCTCCACCTTATCCAGACACTGGAATAAAATTCATAGAGAACTGAGCTGCCACCCAGAACTCACACAGTGTCGGCGAGACAGCTGGACTGAGCTGCGGGCTACGCACCGCCACACACGCACCCTTCTAATTCCTGTCTGCGTCCCAAAGGAAACTTGCGAATAGAGCTTGAGCAGCAAAAAACATCCTTTAAAAAAACAAACGCAGGCGGCAGTTGTGCACACCTTTAATCCCAGAGCTTTGGAGGCAGAGGCAGGCTGGTCTCTGAGTTTGAGGCCAGCCTGGTCTACACTGTAAAGCCATTTAGAGAGACCCTGTCTCAAAAACAAAACAAAAGCTTTCTTTCAAGTAGAAAAGGCCATTACCAAGCAGATGGGATGTGTCTTCAACTTGGTCCACTGGATCTGAAAGAGAAAAGCAGACACAGGCTTGTGATGGCTTCCCTCCAGTAAACAAGCCTCCCGGCTCAAGACAGCAACAGCACGGGGACCCCATCTCACCCGGATGGAGGCCCTGTTGCAGTAGACCCTGGTGATGGCTAGCCAGGTGGGCAGTTCCAGCACATTCTGCAGCACCTCTTCGTCCAGCTCCAGGTTGGTCAGCTGACCCTCCCCTTTCAGAGTGCTCAAGTTGATCTTGTCTGGGGAAAGATTCTTAGTGAACCTGCAGAGAGGGACAATGAAACGTCATGGTTTCCAGGGCGAGGCCACAAGTTAGCACTGCTAAGCTAGTCACCACACAGTGACGGATAATCCTACAGGTCAAACAATTATGAAAATACCTAAGTAATTTAAAAAGATGGCCATAAAACAGAAGGGAAATGTATCTTACCAAAATAGATGAAACCATGATTAATCAACTTTAAAATGTTTAAATGGGATAAGTAGCACACCTGCTAAGACACAGTGGAATTTAGAAAGGGCTGCTGAATAGAGCAGCATATATAGGTCCTAATTCCACAATAGGGAATAGGGAATGTGTTACGCTGGGCAAGAGGTTTTCGTATGTTCATACAGGAGAACAGAAATTATGGGTTCCATCAAAACTAATAAAAATCAGATACGACAGGAAGACCACCTGAAGATCTTGGCCACACACAAGAAGAGAGAAATCAAGAAGACCAACCAAAAGAGGTAACATAAAGTGCTGATCCCACATATTCTGCGCCAGAAAGCTGAAGATGATGCTCCAACGTTATAGAGAGATATAACGTGACTGTTCAGGCAGCAAACTGTCTCTGTCAATTTTTTTATTTTTTTGGAAGCTGATAAGATGCACTTCCTATTTAATTTTAAATAATTAATTTTATTCCTTCTCAAATCTCGGTGGGATTGAAGACTAAGTAGTTACAGTTCCACAATTAAGCTTACGTTGTTTAGAATTTAAGAAAATGTTTTCATATAGGTAATACCAATAAGGATAAAAGTTAAGTTAGGTATAGAACTCTAAACTTATAGAGATAAAATAATCAAATGCTTTCTCCTAAGTTGCTAAATGCATATAACTAGACATTGCACATATAAATCTTACCTAATATTTTTCATAAATTTTATAATTATTTTTGTATTGAAAGAAAAGGAGCCTTTTATTGGACTTAAAGGGGGGAACTGTTGGTATTATGTTCTGGTGGCAAATGAGCCAACTGGGCAAAGAAAATGCACTCAATTCACCACAGACAGAATTCTGCCAAAAATGGGAAACTTAAATGAAGGACAAGTCCACCACACACAATTTCCCCTTGTTCATTCAAATGCTGATTTCTTTACCCCACTATCTGGTTTCAAGCTGGACACTGCATTGTGATGTTTATTTTAAGTATCACCTGTCTCAGGTTTGTGTAAACATGCCACCATTTGTTCTCTGTATGGTCAATAAAACAACCAGCCACAACGCTGAGCAATGGAGAGAATAGAGTGGGACATCCTGGTCTGGAAGGGAGGAAAAGGAAGTGAGCAAGAGAGATTGGCAAGACAGGACTTGGAATGAGGAGGAAAGATGAATGGGCCCTAAGATGTGACTAAAAGCAAGAATAATGGGTGAAATCTGAATGGGAGGAGGCTACGCGGGCTTGGAGGTTAGGACAGAGGAACTACTGCCCAGCATTGTGCTCTAGGTTAATTAAAGAAATCAGTCTCTGTGTGGTGATTAGGGTATACAGCTGGTGTAGGAATAACCACTGCTTAAAAGATAAATCAATAACAAATATTAATATCCAACAACAAAACATCAAAAAACAAAAAACTGTGAAAGGACAGCAGATGCCCAAAGAGGCTTTATCTGACACTCCTTTATTTGCTTGACGAACAAACACACAAAAGGGGAAAATCACATTTGGTCCCTTCTCTGAGTATCCACTAACTAACTGCACATCTAAAGAAAAGATCACAGCACACAAGCACACTCGGGAAGCCTGTCTCTAGAACCAATTTAGCTCCTAAGAAAATCATTTACTAGTGCACTGTCAGGAACTGGGCCCTTCGTGACTTTCACGGCCCGGCAAAATCCCCCACTCATGAATGTCACATGTTAATCTCACTGCTGTGATTGTCCCTGAGGACGTAAATACATGTGAAACCCATTCTCACCCACAGTTACGTCCTTCCAGCAGCTTCAGCGAGCCAAGGGCAGGTTTTCCCTTTAATTTCACAATGGAATAGAACAAAAAGAAATTCTCAGATTTTAACATACAGGCTGAATGATTTTAATTCAGTGTGCGTGTGTCTGTGTGTTGCTGGGAACTGACATCAGCCTCATACATTCTGAACACTACATCCCAAGCCCTTAAACAGGTGGTGTGTGTGTGTGTGTGTGTGTGTGTGTGTGTGTGTGTGTGTGTGTG